TGGTGAAACCTTGTCTCTATTTAAAAAATACAAAAAAATAACTGAGAGTGGTGGCTGGTGCCTGTAGTCCTAGCTACTTGGTGGGTGGGGGCTGAGGCAGGAGGATCGCTTGAGCCCAGTAGTTCGATGCTGCAGTAAGCTGTGATGGCATGTCTCCAGCCTGGGTGACACCTCTCAAAAAAGAAAAAATGAAATCCTGAGCCCCACCAGTAGCTCAGACTACAGGCATGCACCACCACACCTGGCTAATTTTGAATGCAATAGTGTGATCTTGGTTCGCTGATCAAGATTCAAGCAGGTTCAAGCAGTTCAAGCAGTTCTCCTACCTCAGCCTCCCAAGTAGCTGAGATTACAGGTGTGTGCCGCCACACCCAGCTAATTTTTGTATTTTTAGTAGAGACAAGGTCTTAGCATGTTTCCCAGACTGGTCTTGAACCCATGAGCTCAAGCAATCCTCCCACACTCCACCTCCCAAAGGAGACCCTGCCTCTTAATACAAAAACAAGAGTCCTAACTTCAAATTTCAGGTCTTCCGCCCACTCACAGTGTCACCTTGGGCATGTCTCTGACACTGTGAGCCTCAGTTTACCCATTAGGACAGTGGGACTTACTTAGGGTTAAGTGAGCCAGTGCATTAACATGGACTTGGCCTTATGCTTAGCAGATAATAAGCGCTCCTTCAATATCTGCCCTTTCTCTCCGCATCATGATTAGTCTGCAATCAGTTCCTTGCTAGGCTGCTCTGGGCCTCAGTTTCCCCAAATGAGGGATGATGTTGGGATAGATGATGGATATAAAATTTGGTTCCCACCTGTGATGTTGGGGCGCCCTCTTGTTGGCAATATGGTGATTGACCAGGGTCCCTGATCTCCAAGTCCCTACCCTGGAATGGGGCATGCTGGGAGGAGGGGCCTGGAGAGAGACCAGACCTGCTCCGTCCCTGCCCCTGGGAGCCCCTAGACTGGCGGGGGTACTCAGACCAGGGCCCAGGCCACAGTGAGACCGGCGGTAAGGAGACTCTTATCCCTGGTTTGGGATTGGGCAAAGGTAACTAGGTACCCCAAGAGTTGGCCTGCACACCCCCACCCTGCAGACAGGTCCCGCTGCCTTTTTTTTTTTTTTTTTTTTTTTTTTTTTTTGTTTCTGTCTGTTTTTTTCGAGACAGAGTCTCTGTCACCCAGACTGAAGTGCACTAATGTAAGGCTCACTGTAACCTCCAACTCCAGGTTCAAGCAATTCTCCTGCCTCAACCTCCTGAGTAGCTGGGAATACAGGCTCCCACCACCATGCCCTGATGATTTTGTTTTGTTTTTTGAGATGGAGTTTTGCTCCTGTTGGCCAGGCTGGAGTGCAATGGCACCATCTCGGCTCACAGCAACCTCTGCCTCCCAGGTTCAAGAGATTCTCCTGCCTCAGCCTCCCAAGTAGGTGGGATTACAGGCATGTGCCACCATGCCCTGTCGATTTTGTATTTTTAGGGGAGACAGGGTTACATTGTATTGGTCAGGGTGGTCTTGAACACCCACCTCAGGTGATCCACCCACCTGGCCTCCCAAAGTGCTGGGATTACAGGCGTGAGCCAGCTGCCTTTCTTACGTTTGGTCTATCGCAGCAGCTCCGCTACCCCTCCAGGGCCCCAGGGCGTGAGGCCACGGGTAAGTGGAAAATTGAGTCCTGCCCCATGAGTCTTTCTGACTCAGGCCTCCAAACCTTCTATTCAGATGGAGAAGGAAGACCCTTCACATCACACACTCTGCCACGTGCCGGCTGTGCTCTCTGAGCCTGTAACTTTGCCCCTCCAAGACTTGGTTTCCCACCAATAGCATGTTCGCCCCCCCACACACAGGCAATCCTGTCTCTTCACCTAGACTGATGGGCTCTCTCTCGTACCCAGATTCATTGGCCTGCCCCTGAGCCGGTGGTTAGGTGTACGGGATCATATCAGGAGGCAGGTGAAGCCCAACGCCAGACTGGAGAAACACTTCCTCACAGAAGGCCACAGGCCCAAAGAGGTGAGAGTTTCCCATGCCCTCCAACTGGCACTACTGCCCTGGGGGTGAGGCCTGCGGGTGGTGTGTGGCCCATTTGTTGGAATAGGGGAAGCCAAGGTGGGTTCAGGCACCCCCACAACGTCCCCACTTTCCACTGTTCATCCCCAGTTCCCAGGGAAATAAGCGCTGCCTCACCAACCTCCCTGGGAGAGGAGGCCCCACCCCTCCCAGCCTCCCTGGAAGATGGAGCCCCGCCCCCCCAGCCTCCCTGGGAAATGGGTCCCACCCCTCCAGCCTCCTTGGGAGAGAGAGCCCTTGTCCCTCTCAGTCCACCTGGAAGATAGAGCCCTGCCCCTCCCAGTCTCCTTGGGAGATGGAGCTCCGTCCTCCTTCCCCCCGCCTACCAGCCTCCCTGGGAAATGGGCCTGCCCCTCCAGCCTCCGTGGGAGATGGGGCCCCGCCCTCCAGCCTCCCTGGGCCTCAGTGGGTACAGTTGCCCAATGGACAGATTCTAGGAGGCTGAAAGTAGCTGCTTGCTCTCCTATCTTGGGAGGGAATGGAAGGTCTGACTGTGCTCGTGGGGGATGGAATAAGAAGCAGCCCCGTGACCCTCCCTCCATTCCCGTCTCTGGCGTGACTGCCTGCTGGACAGGCTCTGCGCTGTGGAAACGTGGCTGGGTCCAGAGTGGGGTGGGGAATGGTGAAGACCATGTACCCTAGGGGCGACAGGCCAGCTTCCACGGAGCTAGAAACCACGTGACTCCCCCTTTTCGTCAGTTTCCCTCTGCAGGGAGGGCTTGGGGGTGGGGCAAGGTCTCAACTGCCTGCCTAGGTTGGAGGTGTGTAGAGCCACAGCCCTGTAGGGTCGTGGGGTGTCCCCTATCGCTGTGCTGAGGCACAGAATCCAAGAAATAGAGACAAAACATGGAGAAAGAAAGCACAGCTGAGCTGGGGGGGCGGGGCATGCCACTTATAAGTGGAGACAGGCGAGGCCCCAAACATCCAGAAGCATCTGTATTAGATATAGGCTGTGGGGAAGGGGAGTGAGTGAGGTCAGTGATAGGGTCAAGACATTCACGTGAGCGATTAGCAAGGGGTCCACCCCCATTAGGTCGCCTAGGCTAGGAGGTGGGCCGTTCGCAGTGAAGAGGATGTAATGTGCAATATCTCTTATCTCGGGGCAGGCTACTTCTAAGGGATTCTGTAGGACGATGCTTTAAGCAGCAACAGAGCTGACAAGGTCTACAGCCCCCTGCTGGCAGCTTCCAGTGATTTCTATTGGAGGACGCCCGGAGCCAGCACAGTAGCTAGAGAGCTGGCAAGTTATACAGTCACCAAGGCACGATTATACCGGAGGGGTTTTAAGCCTTCGAACGCTCTCGGGATTGCCCCCTGAGGGCAGCCTTCCACAAGAACTAGATGCAAGGTACTACAACTCCTTTATCAGGAGGAGAGGCTCTTGCTCCATGTCTGCCCTACAGCAGGTATCTTTACGATACGGAATGCTGCCACCTGGGCCAAAGATGCTTGTCCTGGTGTAACTGCTTTTCCCTTAAATCATCCTGTGCCCTGTGTCTGCTCTAGACATTCCTCCGACTACAAGCACAATATGCTTACATATGTTGTATCGCTGTTTCTCCCTTAATTCATGCTCTGTACCATGTCTTCTGCTCTAGGCATTCCTGCCACTATGAACTAAGATATAAATGAATATACAAATATAAATGAGTAGTAAGATATTCTTCAGGCACTAATTCTATAAACTAATATGATTATATATAAAGGATAAAAGGATATAACTGAGTAATAATACTATAAGATATTCTTCAGGCAGTAATTTCGCCAGGAATCTGCTTCGCTCTCCTTCTTTGGTGCCCAGATGGGGGGTTACCCACAGAGGTGAGAACTGACCGTTCTGGAGGTGCGCAGGAAAGCCTCTCTGGGGGCAGGGGATGCTGCATGCCACTGTCTCTCTTAATCCCAATCCCCACTGGCAGCCTGCCTGCCCTGTGAACAGGATTTGCTTCTCTTTTTTTTTGAGATGGAGTTTCACTCTCACCCAGGCTGGAGTGCAATGGCGAGGTATTGGCCCACTGCAACCTCCACCTCCTGGGTGCAAGTGCTTCTCCTGCCTCAGCCTCAAGCGTAACAGGGACTACAGGCACATGCTACCACAACCGGCTAATTTTTGCAGTTTTAGTAGAGATGGGGTTTCACTATGTTGGACAGGCTGGTCTTGAACTCCTGACCTTGTGATCTGCCCGCCTTGGCCTCCCAAAGTGCTGGGATTACAGGTGTGAGCCATGGCACCCGGCAGGGTTTGCTTCTCTTAAGACCTAAGTGTTCTGCAGGACCCCACCCTGGGACCCCCAACACTGTCTCTCCATACAGACACGGCCACCCTGTAGGCAAGACATGGGGCTTCAGTGGAGGAGAGGACAGAGCCAAGTCCTGTAAGGACATGGGGGGAAGCCACCACAGGACCTCTGTGACCCTTGTCCCCATCACCCCCTCCCCAGCCCCAGCTGTCCCTCCTGGCTGCCCAGTGTGGCCTCACACTGCGACAGACTCAACGATGGTTCCGGAGACGCCGGAACCAAGATCGACCCCGGTTGACCAAGAAGTTCTGTGAGGCAAGGTAAGCCCAGGATGGGGCTGGCTGGGGCTTCTAGGGTGCAGGGCAGCAGGGGGGTGTCTGCTGTTTTCACAGCTCCCTCCCTGTCCGCAGCTGGAGGTTTCTCTTCTACCTGTCCTCCTTTGTGGGTGGCCTCTCCGTCCTGTATCACGTGAGTATACCCGACTGCTTACCTATCCTGCCCACCTGTCCCAGAAACATCTCCTATGCCCCAGGCTTGGCTCTGGTGGGAGGGGGTGTGTGGAGGGGTGCAGCCAGAGGGGAGAGAGCGCCTGGGGAGGTGGTGGTGAATGTTCACTCAGCAGGTACTTAGGGAGGATCTAACATGTACCACAGGTTTGGGTATCTGATGAGGCCCCACCCCTCTCAGCCTTCTTGGGCGATGAGACGCCACCCCCTCTGTGTTCCTGGCTCATGAGGCCCCACCCCCTCTGTCTTCCTAGCTCATGAGGCCCCGCTTCTCCTGGCCTCCTTGGAATGAGCCCCCCACTCGCGAGTGAGAGGCAGGAAAAAGCAGGGCTGGGTAAAGGCAGCATCTATGAGATTATGGAAGGAACCCCAAAGAGGCCACAGACCCAGGCTGGGAGGCTGGATTCTCACTTCCGCACAGCCTGACACCCGTTTCCCTGCAGGAGCCATGGCTGTGGGCACCAGTAATGTGCTGGGACAATTACCCAGACCAGGTGAGTGGCAGAGTGTATGTGAACGCTTGGCGGGTCAGAGTGATGATGACGGTTGCTGCAGCCATGGTCATGAGACCCGAACCCTGATACTAAATCATCATTCCCCTCAGTCCCACTCTCTATCTTTGATTCCCCTGTGGAATAGAGAGGGGCCAGGAAACTCCAAGCAGGGGCTTCCACCAAACCACTGCCCTTGATTACCTCCAGGGATGGGGAGCTCACTCATTGGGATTCAAGTGTCCTGGTTTTGGGTGAAGGGAGAGGGTCCTGAGCCATGCCCCTGCCCGATGGGAGCCTTCGCTCCCCACAGCTAACCTTGCCCTGCCCTGCCACAGACCCTGAAGCCATCCATGTACTGGTGGTACCTCTTCGAGATGGGTTTCTACCTCTCACTGCTAATGAGGCTGCCCTTTGATGTCAAGCGCAAGGTGAGGCCAAACAAGATTCTGGAAGCCCCAGTCTCTGGCCAGGGAGCTGGGGTGCTGGGCGGTGAGGCGGCCTCACAACCAGATCCTGAGAACTTCCTGGCGCCTCCTGCATGAGGCGGAGAGGCCACACCAACTCTCTGAAAGGGCCCGCTCCTCGGCCCATGGGGCGGGGGCCCCCTCCAGCATCAAGCCTCGTCTCCACTATGACCCAACGTCTCCCGCAGGATTTTAAAGAGCAGGTGATGCATCACTTCGTGACAGTCATCCTGATGACCTTCTCCTACAGCGCCAACCTGGTGCGCATTGGCTCTCTGGTGCTGCTGTTACACGATTCGTCCGACTACCTGCTGGAGGTGGGCCTGGCCCCTGCCTGACCCCTCCCAGCTGCTGTACCCAGCTCTTCCCAGGTACCCCTCCCAGGTGCCCCTCCCAGTCCTCCCAACCTTCCAGGGAGGTGAAGCGACGCCCCGCCACTCCCAGCCTCCTTGGGAGGTAAGGCCCCGCCCCCTCTGTCTTCCTGGCTGAGGCCCTGCCCTTCCTTGCCTCCTTGGGCAGTGAGGCCCCACCCCATCTGTCTTCCTGGATGATCAAGCCACACCCGTCCCGGCTTCCTTGGGCAGAGGTCCCGCCCTTCTCATCTTGCTTTGGCAATGATGCCCCGCTCCCTCCGTCTTCCTGGGAAATAAAGCCCTGCCCCTTTCAGCCTTCCTCCTTGGAAGACAGAGCTACACACACGTGCAGACACACATGTGTTCACACTCTTTTTTTTTTTTGAGATGGAGTTTCACTTTTGTCACCCATGCTGGAGTGCAATGGCACAATCTCGGCTCACTGCAACCTCCACCTCCCAGATTCAAGCGATTCTCCTGCCTTAGCTTCCCAAGCAGCTGGGATTACAGGCACCGACCACCATGCCCAGCTAATTTTTGTATTTTTAGTAGAGACAGGATTTCACCATGTTGGCCAGGATGGTCTCAAACTCCTGCCCTCAGGTGATCTGCCTGCCTCAGCCTCCCAAAGTGCTGGGATTGCAGGTGTGAGCCACTGCACCCACCCTATATTCACACTCTTTACCTTTCTAGGTAGTTCCTGGAAGGTTAGGTCCCATCCCAACTCACCTGATCCTTCCCCATGGCACCCTATCCTTGAGACCAGGCCCCTCCTTGCCTGGCCCCTGATCCTGAGCGCATTTTTCTCTGCTGCCCTTCTCAGGCCTGTAAGATGGTCAACTACACGCAGTATCGGCGAGTGTGCGATGCTCTCTTCCTCATCTTCTCCTTGGTCTTCTTCTACACCCGCCTGGTGCTTTTCCCCACCCAGTGAGTCAGCCCTCCTGTGGGGGTCAGGGAGGTGGGAGGGCATGTCTGAGATTCCAAGACTGCCTCACCCTTGATGCCCTGCCCCAGGGAGCTGGGGATATTGGCTGGGAGACTCCAGGAGGAGGCAGGGGCCTCCAGGCACAAGGCACAGCATATGCAAAGGCCCAGAGGTGAGATGAACTGAGAATTATACTTACCATTACTCAGCATTCCTGGACCACGGAGTAGGAGGAGAGGTCAGGGTTGCCAGCGCACCAAAGTCTGCCCCATAAATATTTGTGGGGCCTCTTGAATGTGCTGGGAACACAGCAGAGGCCACAGTGCAAAGATCCCTGCCCTCGTGAGCAGACATTGTAGCAGGGGGTGGGGGAAGCAGATGGTAAATGAGGCAGCCAGGTGAAATAGACACACTCGAAGAAGTGACTGTACTAACAAGCAAATTAAGTCAGGGGGCCAGGCATGGTGGCTCATGCCTATAATCCCAGCACTTTGGGAGGCCGAGGCAGGCAGATCACTTGAGGTTAGGAGTTCAAGACCAGCCTGGCCACATGATGAAATCCCATCTCCACCAAAAATACAAAAATTAGCTAGACAGGATGGTACATGCCTGTAATCCCAGCTACTCAGGAGGCTGAGGCAGGAGAATCACTTGAACCTGGGAAGTGGAGGTTGCAATGAGCCTGGATTGTATCACTGCACTTCAGCCTGGGTGACAGAGTGAGACTCTATCATAAATACACACACACACACACACACGCACGCCAGGTGTGGCGGCTCCCATCCCTGCATTGTCTGCTCACAAGGGCAGGGATCTTTGCACTGTGGCCTCTGCTGTGTTTCCAGCACCTTCAAGAGGTCCCACAAATATTTACTGAGACCTCTTTGGTGCGCTGGCAACCCTGACTTCTCCTTCCACTCTGTGGTCCAGGCACACTGAGTAATGGTAAGTAGCTTATAGTCCCAGCTACTCAAGAGGCTGAGGCAGGAGGATCACTTGAACCCAGGAGGCAGAGGCTACAGTGAACCGAGATTGCACCACTGCACTCCAGCCTGGGTGACAGAGGAAATTTTGTCTTAAAAAAAAAATAAAATTGGCTGGGTGTGGTGGCTCACACCTGTAATCCCAGCACTGTAGGAGGCCAAGGTGGGCAGGTCACCTGAAGTCAGGAGTTTGAGAGCAGCCTGGCCAACATAGAGAAACCCCGTCTCTACTAAAAATACAATAATTAGCTGGGCATTGTGGTATATGCCTGTAGTCCCAGCTACTCGGGAGGCTGAGGCAGGAGAATTGCTTGAACCCAGGAGTCAAAGGTTGCAGTGAACTAAGATCATGCCATTGCACTCCAGCCTGGGTGACAGAGCAAGACTCTGTCTCTAAATAATTTTAATAAAGTTGGGAAGGGAACAGGAATTATGGGCGGGGTGGGTAGTTGGAGGTAGTTGGGAATTACAGTGGGCAGGGAATGCCTTGCGACAGCATTTGTACAGGCAGATGGGAAGGGGTGAAGGAGAGAACCGTGTTGATCAGAGGAGAAGGAGGTTTCAGGAAGAGAGAACAGCGTGCGCAAAGGCCCCGAGGCGAGACGGTGCCTGGCATGTTAGAGGAACAGCGACGAGGCCTTTGTGGCTGGAGCACGGTGGGCAAGGGGGAGGGCAGGGAGGAGATGGGGGTAGGCCGTCCAGGGCCTTGATGTGGGGAGGACTTTGGCTTTGACCTCGAGGGAGATGTGAGCCATGGAGGTTATAAGCGGAGGAGGGATTTGATCTGAGCCAGATGTTCTGGGTGCCCTCCAGCAGCTGCAGGGAAACATAATGGGAAGTGTGGGCAGGAGCGAGGGGACCCAGGGTAGGCGAGAGAAGTGGGCAGACCCAAGGGGATGCCTCTGGGTTCAGGAGATGGGAACAAGCACAGAAGGAACTGCTGGAGGCATCAGGAGTTTTGCCCTGCTGGGTTTGAGGGTGTCTGTAGCCTTAGAGGAGACATGGAGAAGGCACTGGGCATGCCAGTCTGGGCTTCTGGGGAAAGAGAATGTAGGAGTTGCCAGTCCATGGCTGGTATTTGCAGCCACCAGCCTGGATGGGGTAACCTAGGGACCAGATTTGGACAGAGGCTCACTTCAGGGGCTCCCTGATGTTTGCTTATCGAGAGCAAGAACAGGGCTTATGGAGCATATGAGTCAGTTTGCATCCTTCCTCTGCCTACAACCCTCCATGGCTCCCACCTGTCTTGGGGTCAGAGCCTGAGATTAGGCAGAAGGGGCTGTGAGATGGGGAGATGGTGGGGAGGGGGAGCCAGAGAGGGAAGGGGCCCAGGGAGGAGGGCGAGCCACTGGGCACCACTGTACTGGTTGGTGAAGGTTGGGGCGGGGGCTCAGCACTGTCTAGTGAGGAAGGAGAGGTCACTGGTAACCCTACAGTTGATTTTGGGGTAGAAAAAGCATGGCAGCTGCAGCCAGTACTTTCAACGAGTTCTAAGAAATAAGCCTACAGGGAAAAGAAGTTGGTAGCCAGAGAGGCAGAGTAGAGTCAACAGAGAGCTTTTTGGTTTTGGCTTTTTCTTGTGTGAAATAACAGTGGGGTTGGCGTTGATGATTAAGAACCAGCAGGAAGGCTGGGTGCAGTGACTCACGCCTGTAAATCCCAGCACTTTGGGAGGCTGAGGCAGACAGATCATTTGAGGTCAGGAGTTCAAGACCAGCCTGCCCAAAATGGCAAAACCACCTCTCTACTAAAAATACCAAAATTAGCCAGGTATGGTGGTGGGCGCCTATAATCCCAGCTACTTGGGAGGCTGAGGCAGGAGAATCGCTGGAACCCAGGAAGCTAAGGTTGCCGTGAGCCAGGATCATGCCACTGCACTCCAGCCTTGGGGACAGTGCAAAGCTCCATCTTTGCACTGAGTTTCAGAAGAGAGGGTGCAGTGGGAGCTGGCTCCAGGACAGTGTCCCAGGCAACAAGCAAGAAGGTGGAATTTGAGGGGAGGAGCAGGGCACTTAGGAACATTCTTTCCAACTGACGGGTTGCACAGTGAAAATGAAGCCCCGCCCCTGTCTGGCTCCTGAGTGATGAGGCCACGCCCTGTCTTCCTGGAGATGAAGCCCCGCCCCTCCCTAGCTTGTATCGAGCTCCACCCCTCTTAAACTCTGGGAGAGGGAGCCCTGCTCCCTCTGTCTTCCTGGGAGATGAGACCCTACTGCCTGCCTTCCTGAGATGTGAAGCCCCTCCCCTCTGAGATGAGAAGGCAGTCACCTGCTAATGAGAGGGAGGTGATAGGGGTCTGAGAAGAGAAAAGGGGCCAAAGTGCCACCCAGTAAAGCAGCTGGGATCATAAGCACCCTCTTGGGTCGGGGTTCATGGTCATGAACGGCCCGTCAGGGAGCTTGAGTGTGTTCTGCTCATTTAGTACAAGCCAGTGAGAGGGGCCCTTGAGTGCCCAGCTTAAGAGCATAGGTATCATAGGGTGGAGGGCACTAGGGAGCTATAGAAGGCTATGGAGCAGGGAAGGCCATGCCAGTTAGAGATTCCTAGGACTGAGGTCTACAGCAGCTGATGAAGCGCCGCCGTCCCCCTCTCCCTCCTGCCGTAGGATCCTCTACACCACATACTATGAGTCCGTCAGCAACACCGGCCCCTTCTTCGGCTACTACTTCATGAACATGCTTCTGACATTGCTGCAGCTGCTACATGTGTTCTGGTCTTGCCTCATCCTGCGCATGCTCTATAGCTTCATGAAGAAGGGCCAGGTATGGCTGGACCTCCCCGGGGTCCCCAGCCCCAGCCCCAAGCTCCTCCTTTCTCCTTGCTCCAACCTGCATCCCTCTCTGTTCCCCCAGATGGAGAAGGACATTCGTAGTGACGTGGAAGAATCGGACTCCAGTGAGGAGGAGGTGGCAGCAACCCAGGAACCTCTCCAGCTAAAGAACGGGGCGGCTCGAGGGCCCAGGGCAGTTCCTGCTGACGGCCCTCGGAGCCGGGTGACCGGGCGTCTGAACAACAGTCACACAACGGCCACATAGCCAAGTGGGGGCTGGCCATGAGGGGCTGCCCCCAGCACCTTGGATACTTCTGGGGTGATGGGACTGGCAGTCCTGGGGCCACCTTTCCGGAGACAGGGAGGGCCCCACCCGGGGTGGGCGGGGAGGGCTGATGATCTGTCTCCTGCCCCTTCCTTCTGCCCACCCGCCCTCCTTCCCACTGGGCAACTGGACAGAGCTGAGAGGCAGCAGCTGGATGCCTCAGCTGGCCACAGACACCTCTGGGCTGCAGCCTGCATGGGGAGCCCCAGGCTGAAAAGGGTCCAATAAAACATAAATGGAGCCATATTTTCTGCCTGAGAACTTGGGTCCCCATCAAAGCTCCTTCTTCATCCTCAGAGACCCCCGAGGGAGCCAAGCCTCTACTTACATATCCCATTGATGTAAGGGCCCCCCAGGGGCCCCAGACAGCAACAGAGCCCACAGACCCACCCCCTTGCTGTTCCCAGCTGAGCCCCCGACTCCCCAGCCAGCGCCTTGAATAAGCCTCTCCCTCCACCCTTAGGGCGCCCTAGGTCAGCCTCTCAAAGACCCCCTTACAGACTAGCGCTGAAAGGTCCAGTCCTTTGCCCAAGGTCACACAGAGGTCATGGACCAAGCAGAGGAGATGCTCAGCCCCATCCCTGGCGTCTCCCTTGGGACAATGGAGGGAATGGGGATAAAATCCCACAGGCTTCCCAAGGGTTAGTCTGGAGAAAGTCACCATCTCTTAAAAAGCTCCAAAAATAAAGAAACTGAGGCCAGGCACAGGGGCTCACACCTGGAATCCCAGCCCTTTGGGAGGCTGAGGCAGGCAGATCACTTGAGGTCAGGAGTTCGAGACCAGCCTGAGCCTCAGCAACATAGTAAAACCCCATCTCTACTAAAAATACAAAAATTAGCTGGGCATGGTGATGCATACCTGTAATCCCAGTTACTTGGGAGGCTGCTGCAGGAGAATTGCTTGAACCTGGGAATTGGAGGTTGCAGCAAGCTGAGATCATGCCACTGCATTCCAGCCTGGTCAACAGAGTGAGGCTCTGTCAAAAATAAATAAAAAGGAAGTTGGACAACAGAAAGAACTGGAGACAATGTGGGGGGGGGAGTCAATAATCTCACATACATTACTGAGGGGAGTATAAATTGCTACCAAGGCCGGGCGCGGTGGCTCAAGCCTGTAATCCCAGCACTTTGGGAGGCCGAGGCGGGTGGATCACGAGGTCAAGAGATCGAGACCATCCTGGTCAACATGGTGAAACCCCGTCTCTACTAAAAATACAAAAAATTAGCTGGGCATGGTGGTGCATGCCTGTAATCCCAGCTACTCAGGAGGCTGAGGCAGGAGAATTGCCTGAACCCAGGAGGCGGAGGTTGCGGTGAGCCGAGATCGCGCCATTGCACTCCAGCCTGGGTAACATGAGTGAAACTCCATCTCAAAAAATAAAAATAAAATAAATAAAATAAAAATAAATAAATTGCTACCAACACTGGAAAACTATTCAGCATTGTATACTATTGTTGACCTTTTATAAAGCTCAAAAGCAACCCAAAGGAAATAACGTTGCATAGGCATGAATATCTAGCTAGTAGACCTATAATAAAATATAAACACAGGCTGGGTGCAGCGGCTCACATCTGTGATCCCAGCACTGGGAGGCCAAGGCCAGCAGATCACCTGAGGTCAGGAGTTCAAGACCAGCCTGGTGAAACCCTGTCTCTACTAAAAATACAAAAATTAGCCAGTCATGGTAGTAGGCACCTCTAATCTCAGCTACGCAGAAGGCTGAGGTGGGAGAGTTGCTTGAACCCAGGAGGCAGAGGTTGCAGTGACCCGAGATCATGCCACTGCACTCCAGCCTTGGCAACAGAGCCAGACTTGGTCTCAAAAAAATAAACATGTAAAGAAACCAGGTATGGTGGCTCACCCCTATAATCCCAGCGCTTTGGGGGTTTAGGCAAGAGGATCGCTTGAGTCCAGGAATTCAAGACCAGCCTGGGAAATAGAACAAGACTCCTGTCTCCACCAAAAAAAAAAAAAAAAAATGGGCAAAGGGTTTGAACAGAAATTTACTGGCCAGGCTCGGTGGCTCAGGCCTGTAATCCCAGCTCTTTGGGAGGTCAAGGCAGGTGTACCACCTGAGGTCAGGAGTTCAAGACCAGCCTGACCAACATGGGGAAACCCCATCTCTACTAAAAATACAAAAATTAGCTGGGCATGGTGGCGGGCGCCTGTAATCCCAGCTACTTGGGAGGCTGAGGTAGGAGAATCGCTTGAACCCAGAAGGCAGAGTTGCAGTGAACCGAAATTGTGCCACTGCACTCCAGCCTGGGCAACAAAAGCAAGATTCCGTCTTAAAAAAAATTTTTTTGGCCGGGCATGGTGGCTCAAGCCTGTAATCCCAGCACTTTGGGAGGCCGAGGTGGGTGGATCACGAGGTCAAGAGATCGAGACCATCCTGGTCAACATAGTGAAACCCCGTCTCTACTAAAAATACAAAAACATTAGCTGGGCATGGTGGCGCGTGCCTGTAATCCCAGCTACTGAGGAGGTTGAGGCAGGAGAATTGCCTGAACCCAGGAGGCAGAGGTTGCGGTGAGCTGAGATTGCGCCATTGCACTCCAGCCTGGGTAACAAGAGTGAAACTCGGTCTCAAAAAAAAAAAATTTTTTTTTCTCAGAAATAAAAGGCACTTGAAAAAATATTCAGCATCATTAGTCATTAGGAAAATGCAAATCAAAACCACAATGAGAAACCCCTTCACATCCGCAAGAGTGCGTATAATGAACGAAGTGTTGTCAAGGATGTGGAAAAATTGAAACAACTGTGTTCATTGCTGGTGCAAATGTAAAATAGTTAATCACTGTGGAAAATCATTTGGTGGTTCCTCAAGAAGTTAAACAGAATTATAATATGATCCAGCAATTCCACTCCTTGGAATAGACCCTAAAGAATTGGAAACAGGTACTCAAATACTTACACATGAATGTTCATTGCAGCACTAGTCACAATAAAGGTAGAAACAGCCGGTCACAATGGTTCACTCCTGTAATCCCAACACTTTGGGAGGTTGAAGCTGGGGGATTGCTTGAATCTAGGAGTTCGAGACCATCTGGGCAACACAGTGAGACACTTCCTCTACAAAAAAGAGAAAAATCAGTTGGGCGTGGTGGCTCACACCTGTAATCCCAGCACTTTGGGAGGCC